CCGCAGGATACCTCTTTAGTCAAACAATTTTCTACTAGCGATGCTCTTTATTACTTCGGCAGGATCAATGGGCTTGACGATAAAGAGATCGGTAAGATACCAAATGTATGGGATAAGAAAACTTGTAGTTGTTGCGCGCGAAATATCATGTAAATTCTGACAAGTTTTACTTTTACTTTCAACTAAGTCTTTCAAGCGGTTCTAATTTTGTCTTGCTCGAAAGATATTCTACTATGTCAATTTTAAACAACCACAGTTTATCCATGTTATTTCCAAGAAACGAGACATAGGTTTTTCTCGGAATTGTTCCAACTGCCTCCAGCAAATCAGTTGGTGAAGAACATGAGTGAAGGTCAACGAAGGAGGGTTTCCTTTGTCGCCGCATTGATGCATAAGCCTCAACTTCTAATTCTAGACGAGCCCACCGTAGGTTTGGACCCATATTTGAGAGAAAAGCAAGTAGAGTTGGCTGGTTTTTTTAGACGTGATAAGCACAGAACATTGAGAAAATGTTTGGACCTCTTCTTTCTTTACAGCATTTGGGCTTATCTGATCAAACTCACGCAGGAGGAGGGTACCACGGTATTGATCACGACGCATTATATCGAAGAAGCTAAAAAGGCTAATAAAGTGGGTCCCCACTAGACTTTCCATTACATTTGCCTCAATAATATTTACGACTGCATTAAAAAAATAGCGAAACTTTCTCGTTTTAAAGGGTCAAAAAATTTTGAAGAAATGTTCTTATGACCTAGTTTACATACATTGTGCACTTGATGCGCGTATCAGATAATGTATTTGAACAGATCAGTCAATTACTAAACAAATTTACTAGTTGTTTTTAGTATTGAATAAATTAAACATTTATATTTTATTTAAGAATTTGAAAAAGTTTTAACATATTTTTAATGCAGTTTACCTAGAATTATACAGGGTGTCGGATTCGATTTGGACGACTCCAAAGATTATAGTAGATTGGGTCAAGCTGAGAAGAAAAGTTATATACCATTTTACAAAATCCGTAATTATTATCGCATAATTAAGAAAAACGTCTGAGCCAATAAGTGCACGGAGGAGCGGAAGGCCGGACTCGGCAGACATGCAAAATGGTGTGTTTGTTGACATATCTCAAGAATCGATAGCGATAGGTGGAGTCACGCATCGATCGATGAGAGACGATGGCGAGCGGGGAGCGGTGAGCGGGCGAACGGCGCGCAGCGAGAGAACGCGTGACATATGACACCGCGCCGAAAAAGTTTTTCTGGTGGTAGGAGAATAATACACCATTTTGCATGTTTGCCGAGTCCGGCTTTCAGCTCCTCCGTGCACTTATTGGCTCAGACGTTTTTCTTAATTATGCGATAATAATTACGGATTTTGTAAAATGGTATATAACTTTTCTTCTCAACTTGACCCAATCTACTATAATCTTTGGAGTCGTCCAAATCGAATCCGACACCCTGTATAAAGAAGTTGCTAAAATTCCTATGTAAACTAGGTTTTGGTTCTGAAACAAAAACTATTCCTTACTTTTGAAGACTTTGTGTTCTTCCTAATTGTACGTGTCATAAATTTCATCGTGCTTAATATTGTGTATTGTGGGTGATACGCAGGTCGGTTTGATGAGACATGGTAAATTGTTAGCTGAATCGGCGCCGCAGAAATTACTGGAGAAATTTCAATGCTCGTCATTGGATGAAATTTTCGTGAAATTATGCGAGGCACAAAATAATGCAGTCACTTTAAATGAAGCTCAGGGATCCAATATGGAAGACACAGGTAGCGCTGCCTTCACTCACGATCAAAACAAATATGAACAACTAAAAGTATGTACGATTTTTATTGTTATAAAAAGCTTTGCAAATTTATATCATTTTAAGACATTAATAAGTCAAATTATTAAGGGAAACAAAACGGTTTCGAATAGACAAGTTTCACGGTTAAGAAGATTCCAAGCTCTATTTGTAAAGAATATCATCCGATTTACCCGTAATTACTCGTAAGTATTTATCATAACTTATCAATAATGCAAAAGGGATGGCTTTGTTAACAAAATAAAATTGCAATTGTTTCAATTTCGAATGTTGCCTTTTCGAATGTTTCCTTCAATATACTTATACAGTACTGTTACGTCAAAACCTCTTGGAATGTGGAGGTATGGAATGACGCAACTAGCAAGTTTAAATGTCTCGCTAACACGCTCGGAGGCGCGTGGAAGCGAGCCGAACGCACTTTTCTAAGGCTCTAAAAAGGCCAATGTCCGTGAGGACACCATGACTCTTTTCAAGAGCGGTGCGATCGCAGGTCCTAATTTTAGGTCAAGGAAATTAATCCCTATTACCCTGGGACGGACCTTGTGCACTCCCAAAGGGGAACGAAGGGGGTGAGGTCTTTAGAAATAAAATGAGTGAGAATGAGATAGGTTTAACATAGTATTATATTTAAGATTGGTCTACATCTAGACATTAGATTAGGATTATAAAAAATAAAAAGGATAATTTTGACTAAACATTAGGACAGATAGTTTTACTTTTACTAAGACATTCCTCTTAACTAATCGTTACATTTAGAATTATAGAATAAAATATAAGTAGATTACATCTTTGTATTGTCGGATTTTACATTATGCGGGTGTGATTGTGTACGTATATGTATATGTGTATGAGTGTGAGGGATTTATTTGAGGTTTCTTATAATAGTGGAAGAAGGAGGGAAAAGTGGGAGAAGAGGAGTGATCATCCTGAGAAATATTATTTAGAGCGGCTAACCGACGCGGATGCCGATTCCTCAGGTTCCTTAAACGTTTGACTACGGCTCGCGACTTTCTCCTGGTTTGAGTGGATCCCGTGAGTCCACTAAAATATATCGAGTTAGGGAGCTTGGCTAGACTTTCTGTTTGTTAATAATTTGTAAGTTGGTAGCTTCAGGGTGAATCTTTAGAAAAGAAAACGAATCGTACCGAATTCACACAAACGGCGAATCCAGAGGCACGAAACGAATTTTTAAAGG